CTAAAATGTCAGAGTAGGGTCAAGAAGATTAGGCTAAACATTAATAGAACAATTTATGAAATGGTAGCACAAGGTTTTCTATGCTGAGTCATCAACCCTTGGCATAGACCTTTGGGTAGAGAGATAAAGGGAAAATCCTGGAATCATTTTAGAAACAAGACAATGCAGCAATATTGGAATGTTGGCAAGCAGTAGATGGATTAACTTGGATGGGTCAAATGGCCTCCCTCATCCTTGAGCGTGAGACAGAAAGAAAAAAAAAACTCAACTAAGCTGTCTCACTTCAATGTTATCTAACAATTTCTACTGGAAATTCGTAGATAGATGAATGTTGAAGACTGGGCAGAAAGACAGCTTTGGTCTTGGTTGTGACACTACCATGTTAGGGGGGTGCCTGTCAGTACTCCCTTTCTAAGATCACAAAGCACTTCAATAATTGCAAAACTGTACTCCAATAAGGAGCCAATACCATCAGAAAAGGAAGGAAAGAAGGTGAAAATATTGTGATAAAATTCATTAGAAAAATCATTTGAATTCATAAATAGATTTAACTTAAAAGGTTTGAAAATATAATCACAGGTCATAGTCAGTTATTACTCTAGCACACCAGATGTTCCCTCTTGCTAAAGCTGCAGCAGCTGCACAAATACCTGATAGTCATTTTCTCCTGTTGCAGATGTAATTAAGAGGTTTAAAATAAGGTTTATTTTTGGATTTATTGCACTTCATATAGCTCCCACTAGGCTTTTTCAACATTATATTTCGTGCTGATAATGCAGGAACGCAGCTTCATTTCATTCTGTAACCAAATATAGCTTCTATATCCTGACATTATTGTATGCATAATGAGGATCTACAAAAAAAAACAGGACTGTACTGATATATTACCTTTCATGACTTTGCAGAATTCGTATTCTGAAGGGGGTCAACATTCAAACATTATGAACATTACCCAACTGTGACCCAGATTAAAGATACACTAAGTTAGTGCCATTAAATAATCAAGACTGGAAGAGAAAAATTAGCTGTGCACATGCCAACATGTTAACATTTGTTTAGGTATATTTTAAAATTGCGCTCATTTGCGCTGCAGTGAATGCAGATTCATTACTAAATAGCCAATTGAAATGGTGTTCTGAAAGGGAAGAATGCCACTTTAATTACTTTGACAGTGGAGATCATTATCGTTAACAGTCATGAACTCATACTTATTCCAAATGTTCAAGTTTCATTACATTCAGAGAAAGAACCGATTCAAACTATTGTTTTCTCTTGTTGATTCAGCTCCTTCTTGTCGCTTGAAATAATTAATTGTTGCTGACACTGCACATTTGAAAGGGGAAGAGAATATTTAAAACTATAACGTAAACCAGGGAACCATTTAGTTCTAATTTACAAACAAATCTTTGTGAAACATTGATAAGTCGAAAGATAACTGTGTACTCTGGTTGGAGATTAGGTCAAACAGAAAAGCAATTAGGAATTGAAGCTAAAAGGACAGTTATTGACTTGATTTTGAATTTTGATTTTATGGTCATGTGTACTGAAATACAGTGAAAAGCTTTGTTTACAAGTGGTACAGGAAGATCACAGCAACCAAAGGATGCACAGATTAAAAAGACTTTAGAGGCATATAGGTTACATTATTTGATGCTAGAGTGCATGAATAATCCCTGTGGAAGGAAATAGTGTGTGTTTGTGTGGTGGTGGTGGTTGGAGGATTCAAATAGGGCTTGACTATGATGCCTAGGTGGTTGAATGGCCAACCAGGGATTGTTGTTAAAGTTCATACACCAACAAATTCCAGGATGCTTTCAGTGTGACTGGGACTGGTTTCAATGACCTCAAGCGAACAAGGCATGAGAAAATTGTTAAGGGAGAAAAATAATTTTAGCAAGCAAATTTCAACGGACCTACTTGATGCTACACACTGGAACGGTAAGCAGAATCTCGCTAATAGTTGTTCAGACAATGTCAATCAACCTCTCCAGAAATGGAATTTCTGAAGGAGAGTCTAGGCCCGAAACGTCAGCCTTCCTGCTCCTCTGATGCTGCTTGGCCTGCTGTGTTCATCCAGCTCTACACCTTGTTAATACATTCTTAGTGTTGTATGTAAATTATTTTTAGAACTTTTAACAGCAAGGTTAATATTTTTGTTTAGATAGCCTTCATTTCTGTTTTACATTTTTAATTAAATCTTCCCCTCTTTATTTCTATACTAGGATGGACTCTTTTTTTCTCAGTTATTCCTGTTTCTTTCTCAATCCTTGATAGTGTTGATCACACAGGTCCCAAATGTCTTGTTGGTCACTCTACATCCTCATCAGCTCACATGCTCAGCAAGTTAATTGCACAAAAGCATTTTTGAGCTGATGGTGCAGAAAAACTGTACCAAGTAGTGTTCATTACAAAATGGGTACTGTAGCAAGACAATGTTTGAATACTACATTCAACTGTCCATGTGAGGCACCAAAGCATAATAAGTAAGTCAACACTTCTTCCTAGCATTACTAAACATGAACAACCTCCAGCCTCTTTGCATTCACTGGAATTCCATTATTATTCCAAAAATATTGATTACAAATTGTGATATAGAAATGTTACCCAGTAAGGCAAGTTGTCTTGGACACTTAAACCAAGTTTAATAAATGTTCTCATTTTTTTTGGTATCTTATCCTGTTACAAAAACATTTTAAAATGCATTTCATGAAATAATTTTTGAAATACAGTTATTGTTATTATACTGGGAAAATGATGCTACTATACTATCAGTATTGTCTCATGAACAGTAATGGTTAAATATCCAGTTGGCTGCATTTGCTCATACCATATAGCGTGTGCAGAAGACTTTAGCGAGATGTTTGTGTACGCACTCTTGCATGTGATCCTTGAAAAGTGTCCACATGCACGCTTTTACAACTGGGATGGCTGCCAATTGTAAAAATGGCATTCCTCCCATTTGATTGTTGTCATTTTGATTTCAGTAGCAGGCTCAGTGTAAACAGTGTTAGTGAATGATGAATGATTCTGACTGCCAAATCCTCATAATTTGGAAGAACAATTAATTTTACACCCTGAGAATAAAAATGTCACTGATTGTTTCAGTAACTAAAGAAATACAAAGATGGTGGTGGAATTGTGAGGCTGGCATCTGGACATGATCCAGCACAGGCAAATGGCAGTCCATAGCAATCCCTCTTCAACCAGACCATGAGGAAGACAACGAGGGAGGCAAAGGAGACAATATCAGGACCGAGGAGGAAAGTGCTGAAGCAAAGGAGATGAAGACAAAGACCCCCTCCATCCCCCATTTTTTCACTCCGCCCAATAAATCCTATTTCCATATCACTGCACATATGCATTGTGGCCTTTGTGTATGCTATCATTGAAATTTTACGAAATAACACAGTGGGTGTGGAACTGAGTGAATGCACAGGAGTTTCTGGGTTAGTGCGCATATGCAGTTGCTGATGCCAACAGACAGTGCCTAACCAGTTTATGTAATTGAGGGAGTAACGTCACCACATAGAACAAAAGAATTGCTTTTGTTCTTTGACAAAGTACCCTGTATTTTTAACGTCCATCTAAACTGGTAGGAACATAATTCTATTATTCTCTTGATAAGATTTCTGTTTGGAAACAAAATGTCAGCATAAGTTTCTGATTAATGTGGGTATGTCAAATATTATAGTTTGATGTGTATTCATTATATGTGCTAACGAGCTGTACAGACCACTCTAGACAGAGATCACTTTGTTATATATTCAAAATATTAAAATAATTTAAACTGTAAGTTACTCACTGAAAGTGACAAGCTCATACCAATCTACAGACTTCCTCAGTCAAATTAAGCTCAGCAACCTCAAGTGAAATTCAGTTTCGGAAGGAGCACAAAATGTGGAGGCAGCAAATTGTTTGGATATTAATACACTTAAATTTTTCTTTGCACTGTGGAGAAGGTAATTGGGTGAACTATATAAAAGATGGTTGATTTGTTCACACTTATTTCATTCTGCAGAAGCTGTATTTAGTCATAACAATTAGACATTTTTGGGTCTTAATGGGATAGGCCATTTAAACACAGTTATATATAGCAGTGGAATATACATGGTGAACACATGTTATAATTACTCCAATCACAATAAACTAGACCATTTAATTTGCCATAAACACATGTACACTAAGATCACAAGAAGCACACTGCCCCAGGGCTTATACAAGTTTTCTTTCCTTAACACGTAAAAGTCAGATTATGTTTCACTGACAATTATTACAGTACATAACTTGACATCCTAAAGTACAAACTTACTGCCGTTATGGAGGGTTTCTTGCCATCACCAGCTGGTGGGTGTGTGACATCTGCGCCCAAGAAGATCACAGGCTGCTGGAACACAGCTGAACTGGAAGGAAACAGGTGGAAATCCTTTTCTAAACTTCACTTACATAAAGTGAATAAAGTATTGAAAGCACTGAATACCACTACATCATTAACACAACATCAAGTTAAGCTTTTTTGTAGAACATACGACTAAACAATTTATCTTTTACAGGTTTTTCTTAAATTCCAAAAGCAGTAAACATGCCATATTACCAAAATGCACAGGTTATGTTAATTATTAAATATGACCACTTTGATTTCCAACTGGAGGAGGATTAAATGATTCAGTAAAGATTTCAAATTATTATGTGAAAGGCTTCAATTTGATATACTCTGCCAAATTGCCATTTAGCATTTTTTTTACAGAAATCAAAACTCTTGCTATTGACAGTTGAAACAGATGGAAATCCTGGTCTTGATTTTCCTTTCAAGATTTTATCATTATCCAATAGTATATACGCCATTGGAGATAATCCTTCAGTGTAAACATTGTGGATTGAGTTCTAGTTGGCATCAATAAATACAGATAAGTCTCTCCATTACTATTTCTAGATTGTGTAGACTGTCTCACCATCACCCTCTTGAACAAAACCAAGCTCACAATGCAAGAGCTACTGCAACTGTTTGCTGTTGCTGTATTGGTCCAACTAAGCACATATATTGCTGAATTCTTCAATTTTAAGTGGAACACTAAACACAAAATCATTGTATGATCAATTTATTCTCATCCAAAATCCCAGAATTTGCTTTTCTACTGTTGAAAATTGATCTGTAGTTCAGTGTATAAATGGGAAGTACTACAATACAGTTTGCAATTAGTGGATTTAACATGTAAATCAGATTTCATTTGTAAATTTAGCCATAACTTCCTAGGACAAAGCAACTTGTATCCTCGGCAGCCAGACTTTACTGTTTGGGGGTATTTTTTTTTTCTTACACCACCAGCAGATGCTAACACTTTTAAAACTTTATTCAAGTTTCATTCAGCTCAATTTTGGACCAGAAAGGATATGGTAGGGCTATTACTTTGCAATAAAGCACCAATCTACTGGTTTTGATTTGGGATAGGTTGAGGAAGAAAGCAGTAACTGAAGGTGAGAAACAATTCTCCAGTAGGGAAAAGGGAAACACTGGAGAGTAAGCGTATCTTTAGCACCTTCTGCCAGCAATTTGAGTGGCATTTGAAAATTTGCAGAAATGGTACATAGCACAGATCACTAAAGATTTATGTAAAAGAGTACAATCCTATTACATTGTGGCTTTTGTTGAATTGCTATATTGCAATTTAATAAATCAGCTACCCACTGAATTACAATATTGCAATTGAATGGGTAGCTGATTTATTAAACTGATTGAATAGGTCAAAATTTATTTTTATGTGCTTCTTATGTGCCTGTGTTTCCTAGATCAAATTCTAGAACTTTACCCATCTTTCTATAATTCCGGAGATAGTAGGAACTGCAGATGCTGGAGAATCTGAGATAACAAGGTG